GATGATGTTACCTAGTCGGGTAATGAAACATCTGCAATCAAACAACCAAGCTCAGAGAGCATCAAGGACTCCACAGAACAGCAAAAATCTTTCTTGGTATGATTTGTGACATCACTGCCTAAAGTATAATGACATATGACAAGGGTGAAGTATGAATCCAAACACCAAGGCATCAGCAGTCAACTATTAAATTTAGGCTACAGGTTCAACAGAAGAAAATGGGAAGAGTTACAAGACTTATTGAGTTACATGCCCAATAAGTCAATGCTTCCCAATATTGGTGGTTTGGGGGATGGGAGAAGAAGATAATGTAATAATGATAGAATCATAGAACAGCTTCAGCATTCTCATTATATGTTATCTTCTTAATGCCATGGCTATCGTAGACAAGCATGTTTGTGAATATACAAGATAGATTATTGGAAACAACTGTATTTCAATACTCGTTCATGTTTAAGTTTGACTCCCTTCACCATTGGCTATATTAAAAAAAATAGTTTTAAATGGTTACTGTCTGCAAAAGCTTTCACTGATGATGTAACGGTACACATACAAAAGTCAGGAATCAGTGTATTAAGATATATTCAATACACAATTCTTTTACTGGAACAAACTGCCTCTTAAATGTGACTGGATACAACCAAAAAGACCTTCCTTACAAAAAACGTATTTAGCTCTGTAGATTTATGGGTTCCCATTAGCTAATAAGTATAGTAAATACACCAGATTTTAGTGTTTCAAACAGCAGAGAGTAACGTAGTAAAACGAATGTATGTCTAATCGTTGCAGGCTATTTTTCTCAACCTTAGAAATGGCCAGAGACAGCATGGAATCTACAGTTATCACTGTTCATTTACTATCCAATGGTGGCCACATTCATGCATAGGAGAGGAATGAGGCATATTATCTTCTCACCTTAAGAAATTTGGAGTTCTGGTCCTCCAATAATAAGATTTCTTCCTCCATTTTCTTTATTTTCGCTTCAGCTGTTACCTTCTCAAGCTGCAGCTTCTGTCGAGCTCCTTCTTCCTCGTCAAGTTGCTCCTCTAGATCCTGAAAAAGAGAAAAAAAAGATCATGATTTTATTATATGAATGGAAGAGGTTAATACTCCAATATTTAGGCAAAGTTTCTAATAATCCTATCATCACTCCATTGAGCAATACCTGTATGTGTGCCTGCATTTTTTTCTTTTCATTCTGAAGCACTTGGTTCCGTTCTTCTTCCTCTTCTACCCTGGATTCTAAATCATGCAGAATTTCTTCTAACTCTTGCTTCTTGGCAGCCAGGCGAGCTCTCATCTCTTCAGCTTCAGCAAAGAGTTCTGTCTCTGCTTGCAACTGTTCTGCAAGAATGTTCTTCTCTTCTAACAACTACAAACATGATAAGAAAATGTTTCAACCTCTTAACATGCTGTCAGTAAGCCCAACAAGCTATAAGAACTTACTAGCTATTGGAATTTGATGTAGTTTGCCCTACTGCAAAAAAAGTGGCTAAAACAGCAGGTATCAGTAGCCCTCACAAGCTAGAAAAGGTTTTGAAGCATGCTATTGGAGGAAGAATTTGTTAAAGTCTTGGACATAGCACTGTTTTCCCTGAACTCTTATTATGGTAGAAGAGGAGGTTAAGTTTAGGAATAATTGATAAGAAGGAATATATACTGGAACAAATATAGCCAACTATTTCAATCTCCTACTTTCAACGTCCGTGTTTATTTTAGCATGCTTTGGTTATTTGTGCAACCAGAAGTCATGTGCAAGATGAGAAGAGATGACACATAAAGAACAAACTAGGATTGTACAAAAATTTTAGAAAGGACCTAGCTGCATTTATGCAATAACCTACAACATACTTTCTACCTTTTGGAGTACTGAAGTCCAAGCCTTGTGTTTTACATGGAAATTTTCCAAACCCATTTTCCTAACAAGAACAATAAAGTAAGTTTGCTGTAACTGCATTTAAAAAAAAAAAAATATGCGCCTTTCTATTTTACACATTCTAAACCAAGACCATCCGAAGGTGCATCTAGCTTAACGCAGCAAGTCAATATGTTATAATAATTTTGCTTACCTGGACAATCAACCTATACAACCAATTAAAGTTGTAAGAAGTACTTGTCACTATATAAATATTTTCTCTGCTGTAACTTAGAAGTTCAATACATCATATCTGCACATGTGACATGGGTCAGTAGCAGTGTGTATGTCAGATTGTATATAATGACCTGCTGATGTTTTCTTTCCATCTCTTCTAGTTCTGCTTCCACCTTAATCTGTTTCTCTTTCACCTTTACCAGTTCCTCATCTTTGGCCTGAAGTTCTTCCTCCTGACGAGTAACCTGAAGCAGAGGTTTCACCTACACAATTAATCAAAAGCAACAAGAGCAGCATGTTAATGTCAGTTCTTAGCTATTAATTCCAACACATAATTTAGAGAAGAAAAACAACAATCTACCTTTGTGAATACTCTCCACCACTGCCAGTGCCTTAGCTTCAAATATGCAGCACAGTTTCTTTGTAAAACTTTTAATGCACTCAGTTGCTGCTGCTTCTTAGCAAAGGCTCTAAAAACAAATCAATAAACTGTTTTATAAAACTGTTGAAAATTTCTGAATTGTAACAGCTACATCAAAATATTAGCTTCATAACAAAGCCAGATTAAAGTACAGCATGATAATTACCACGCTTCCATACTGGAAGGAAGTAACTGCTAACTAAGCATTCAATGAACAAATCATGCATATTACTTTAAATGCAGTAGTTTTGGTTAAACTAAATCCTTTAAAAGATTTCATCAAATCTTGCCCATAAGGATTAAAATAACATTACTACATTCACTTACTTTCTGGCCAAGTATCCTCTACAGACTGCTTGGAAGAATATAATGATGTCTGTTATCTTCAGATCTCTTTCTTCTTCTAGATGTGCCAAAACACCAGCTCGGAAAAAAATCTTGCTCTGACCAATTCTATACAAATTGGGGTCCAACTCCAGTGCTCTGATCTATGCAAGAACCAAATCCATTTATTTCACACAGAAAATGCAAACAATCTAACTTTCTAGATGTATTATATTTCTACTGGATAGCTTACCATTCTCTCACAAGCTTGCTTTCCGTCCATAAAACCCTTAGGAATTGCATTTGGAGTCAAGATCTCATACCTATGAACCAATCAGAAAACAAGTAGTTCAAATGTTAGTAAAGTCACAGAGGTCTATTCTTCCCCCTGGAAAAAGGACTACATGTTAATAAACATGTAGAAGGGGTCTTAATTATTTGAACAAAGGGATCTCTAAAACATTAATGGTAAGATACAAGTGTATTACCTGAACAAAATGATCTCTGACACATTAATGGTAAGACTCAAGTATATTAAAGTACCTCTGTCTAAATTCTTGGAACACTATCCTGTTTGGAAATCCTTGTCGACAAATCCGTATTCCTTCGAGAACACCATTACAACGGAGCTGATCTAGAACAAGATGGGGATCCAGCTTTCCAGCCTAAATACACAGACATTACTTTTAGTACTCTTTCATTAAAGAAATATTAATTACTAATCGCTCAAAAAACAAGTGCTCCTCAGTATCTATGTACAACATGAAATCAAAATGTTACTATATGAGCAAACAGAGATGTACAGCATAACCAAAAGAAACACAAGAAGCATCTATTGTATCTAAGTAAAATGCAATCACATACCCTCTTTTCATGATTGGGAATGATGCAGCGAACAAAATTTGGGTTAGTATTACGAAGTGTGGCCATCAGTTTGGTGAGTGATTCTTTGTATAACTGCCCTACTGTACGGAACATCCCCTTCTTGGTCTTGTAAGCTGAGCCAAATGCAGTCTCTGTTATTCCAGTGACTTGATCTAAACCCACAATACGGTCCACTGCAGGCAACAAGAACACAGTTAAATGGTCCATATATGATTCAGAAATAAAGACAGTCAGTAAAAATAAAAGGTGCAACAAATGTTTTGTGAGACAAAATTGAAGGGTGCTATCTGTGCCAAAGCAAATAGGTACGCATGGAAGTAGCTGGACTGAAAGCAATGTGCAAGGCAAAATACTGTAGCTTTGACAGTGATGAACTAGGAAGAACAAAAGTTATTATTTTACTTTTAGGAGCACTATAGCCATTCCCTTTTTATAATTAAAAGGAATTTTTGAAGAGAACCAAGGGCGAACACAGAATGAATATTGTTGGAAAAATTATTATATAGCCCAAGCAAATGACTAAATGGATCAAACTCTGCATTAAAGGCAAACTATTACCATCCTCCCATGTATCTTTGCTTGAAATAAACAAAGTACAGTATTTCCCTATATAACTGCAAGATAAAATATGGGTTTTAGCTTTTTCATTATATTTTCCCATTGCATCACAACAAATGCTATTATGTGGGCTTGTCATATTGACATTAATTCAGCTGAAATTAATTTCAACATTTTTCTCTGAAGAATCAAAGTGAGGGAAATGTTTTATTTAATTAGTCCATTGCAGTAAAATTAACCCTAAAGGCAATTACAGCTATAAGGAGCAATATCAAGAAAGTGCTATATTTTGGTCAGGAGATAAAGCGAAAATAAAATAAAATGGCTTGGGGGGAGCCACCATACTGTCATTCTAAAGAACTAAACACCTTAAAGATTGCAGTCTAGCTTCTTGCTAATCACACTAGCCAGGGTACAAGCAATCTTTTAACATTTCCCCCAGTCACAAAACTCTGTGTGGTTAAATTAAAATGTACTTAACACACCTCCTAAGTAGAATTAGAGTCAGCATCTCTCCCTAATCAGTGAAATACATTTATTGTACATCACTAAAGGAAATGGAATGGGGGAAGTAAATTGCAATTAGACAAAACTAAAACATATATATCCTAAATATAATAGTTGTAGTGACAGGATGGCAATTCATGGTACTAAAGAAATCTATTCTATAACTAAAAAAAAGTCCTGTTTGATTTTGAAGAAATTAGTAGTATGCTTAATAATGGGGAAAGTCAATGCTGCAGTATCAAATTAACCAAAACGCAAATTAAACAATTTCCTCAAATTAATGAATAGCTTAGAATTGTAAACATGTATAATCAATTTAAGTTTCATAAAAGATAGGATTTATTTTGCGAGTAGATTTCAGAGGCCATAGCAATTTAAAGGCAGCACAGCACATAAGCAGATCTCACTTTAAACAAAGAGATATACTGCCATACTTTGCTTTGGATCTGTAATAATAACTCATTGCAATAATAATACATTCAATTTTATTTATATTCCTTATAAAATAGATTAATTCACAAAAAGACCAGTACAAAATATTTCATAAGTCTTGTAAAGAGTTAATATAGTGTCAAGGAAGACTTCTTAATACAAATTCTTATTTCAGCTTCAGTTTTGTATGTTCCGGCTTACATACAAATTCAACTTAAGGACAGACCTTGGGAATGGAACTCGTT